TTCTTTTGCCTTTAACACTCCAGTTGTCTGTAAAAACAAATATTATGAGGTACCAACAGTAACATCATAAAACTGAAAGTCACAAGCCATCACAATCAAAGTTGGGAATAACTGTATTGTTATCTTATTTCACTGATCTATAGTTCTTATTTCCAGTCTTTGTTTTTTGTACAACAAAAAATCTTTCTTGACAAACTCTGGAACTATTTTACATTATAACAAAGACACCTGAATTTAATACTTACAATGTCTTTTCTTCTTGTCTGGATAACCACACTGAGCACATCTGGACTTCTGAATGTGGTAACTACTGCGTCCACAACGACGACATAAGGTGTGTGTCTTGTTGTGCCGTTTACCAAAACTTGAAGTTCCTTTAGTCTGTTTACATGCGAAGAGTAAAAACAGTAGTATTTTTCATACACTATTTGAATTCAAAAATTAATGTTTTTTCCCCCCTCAAATTGATTATTCAGTAATATAGAAATGATAAAGATGACCTCTGGTCATTGATTAAAAAGATGTAACTTTTCTTATTCATGAACTATTATATACATTATCAGTGAAATATCCTATAACTCTATAGCTCATAACTGTTAAATAATTTTGCCAAAAACCAAATTTGAAAGTGGGCTTCTAAAGATTAAATATATCATAAATAAGTTTTAAAAACATATTTTCAACCCATCAAAATAAAGTTATGAATAACACCTTTCAGCTGGAAGAATTTTATTATCCATAAACTTTCTAATCTGATAAAACCAAAACTATACAACCAACACTTGTGCATGGCGAATTTGTGGTTAATAAACATGAATTGTACTCATTAATTACATAAGATATTCATGCTTTTCGTTATATCTTCCAAGTTTTGTCAACCTTGAAGATACAGTATGTTCATTATTTGATGAACCATATCAGACAAACAATTACAGCATATTGGAGACATATCTGAAATATTTTTCTGCTAGTTTAGAAAGAACATAGATGAAGAACACTGTCTATAAGATGATAGTACCAGATACAGCAACACTGCATGCCTGATAAACTAATAAAACCATTGCAATTACTCTGGAGCTGTTGGTACATATAGACTATTGCCTGGACATCCTTTGAGCCACAAACAAACATGAAGTCTCAGCCTTCATTATACCACAAAATGCAACCTGTTTACTGTAGTTTTTATCCTATTCAATTAGCTAGGTGGTTCATTAATTTATGGATACCCTCTATTAAAGCTAAGTGATAAATTATGATTAAATCAGTGCTTCCAATTATTCCACTTGTTATTTAACCTAAATTATAATTAAATTGATTATCACAAACATAATCCATTACTTGAAATTAGTGTTCCAAATTATTGCTATTTTTTAATTATTCTAATTATCCGAGTAACAGAAATATTCCACCAAATCAGTTACTGCCAACTGTCCTTTTGCTTGTATTTATCATGGTCAGAAAAATAAACACTACATAGAATAATTGTAATTGGTTAAAGGGAGGGAGGGGGGGGGGTTCATCCATCAATTAAATGATTACCAACTATTACTAATGACCCAGATCTACAGTGTATAATGAATATTTTTCAGCTAAGGTTGTGTACCTTAAATAGCTAAATTTTCAGCAGTACAGTTTCAATCTTTGTTTTTTTTATTTACCCATTGTTTGGATAAGGCTTAATAATTCTGGAAGTTGTAGTTCTTGGGTTTTAATCATATTGAATGGTAACCTTAAGGCTGAACTGGCTATAAATCTACCTCAGTCACCGGAATGTTTTTATTTTATGAATAACAAATGTTTCCTTTTATGGAGATTCTTTAATGATTACCTTATTCATACATGTACTAAATGGCTCTTTCTTTCAGGTATAACCATAACTTTGAAATAGTGATCACAGGGAAGGCAGCCTAACAACGGTCACAATGGCTTTTCCTGGCTCTTTAATAAACCTAGTACCAGAATTGACTGTCACTATATATTGTTGAAAGAGTGGAGTGAGTTTAGCAGTATTATGTCTGAACTTCCACAACTTGTATTTCAAATCTTGGACCCTTTGATCTTCAGCCCTCTCTGCTAGCCCAATACGCCATTGATGGATGAATATTTTAAGAAACAAGAAGAGCAATGTGATAAGCCAAGCTCTGTGTAGTGGGTAACTACACGATACTATAAAAGTTATTACAGATACAAGTTTTGATACATTCACATGTCTTTTTCAGTCCAACTTTTGTTTGTGAAAGAAAAATAAGAGTCAAAGAAATAATGCTAATTTTTTACACAGGTGATGTTGATTATAAAAACAACTGGAAATCGGTCAAACTAACATAAAAAACTAGACAATGTCAAAAAGTTTGTGGAAAGTTTGCTAAACTTCAACTCCTCTGGATGTCACTTTGAGCTGAACCTTTTCTGTTGTCATATGCCATTACAGGACTGGGAACTTCTATTATAATATTTCCGAATGCACTGGGAAATAAATACATCCCAGCCGCGGTGAACAGGTTAAGCTCTAAATGTTCTAAAATGAAACGAACAGCCAATAGTTAAAACACGTGGTTTTTATTAAATGTAGGTTAGTAAATGCACAATCTTTTGAAATCTGTTTTTACTAAATCACTCCAAACTAATACCTGATCAATCATGCAAAACTTGGACAGCTATTCTCCACAAGTTGCAATATAACCTAAACTATGTACATTACAATCTAATTTGTGTATTTTTTCATCCAAATACTGTTATACACTGAGGAACCCTCTAATCAACAATGTAACCCATAATTTAATCATTATAGTGAAGTTATATCTAAATACTACAAGTGTATTTATACTCCTGATAATGAAGATGTAGATAACTGGTGAAACATAGTACTCAACAGGGCTTAATATCCTTTTACTAAAGTTTTATTGTGTGTTAGATTTTAACATTGTGGTGTGTTTTAGTTTATTTAACCTTTGCACAAATGTAATATAAGCGTATTTATTTACTACAAGTGAAAATATTTTTGTTTTCAATTCCTGAAGTTCTAATACAAAAACTTGTACTATTTCAGAAAAAAAACCTTATTTGGGAAATCAGTAATCAATCATGAAACTAAGAATTTCAACATATTAGTAAATTTCCACATAAAATGCCACTTCAAAAGTTGTAATGAAAACATTTAAGGTTAAGCTACATAAAGAGTTAAACATCTTAGTACAAAATTAAAACTTTAAAAAGTAGAGATTGTAAGACTGTCTGTACCCAAAGTGTAAATAGTGACTTTTACCAAAAAAATTATAATAAATTTAAGTGCAAGAAAACTCAAAGCCAATATGTATAAAGCACCAAAAGAGAATTCCTATCACTTTGAATTGTGGCTCTATGTTAATTAGAAGCATTTTACATTTCCAGTGGTCGAGTGAAACCTACATTCACTCACTCAATCGTCTTCAGGCCGGGTAGCACATAAGTCGTCAGACGTTATCAACACTTCTTTATTGCTGGTTACATTAGGCCAACAAATTCTTATAAAAAATTGTAGATATTTTGTCTGGAAGGTCTGAAGTTTGTTGGTGATTGAAGAATTCATCTTCCAGTACTTTGAGCTACACAGAAATACACTGAGTCTGGTTTGCAGGTTAATGTTATTGATTTCTAGACCATGTTACGTAAGTAGCCAGGGAAGAATTAAAAGCACACACGTTACCTCATATCTTTGACTTTGATGAAAAGAATGCAAGGTGAACCTTGAAGTAATACTTTTTATAATATACAATTAATTAACCTTTTCCATTTCAAGAAATGTCAGAGATATGTACACTGCCATGTTTCTACACACATCCAGAAACAAACTACATAAGGCATTTGTAATTCAGATTACACAAATATTACACTTAAGATTTTCAGTGAATCATAACTTTAACCACAAGATGATAAATGGAATAATTGAAAACAGACATTTTTTGTAGAAATGTGTATAGAGATTGTGCTGTTCTTTACAAAGCATCATACTGGTATTACAAACATTACACAAACACAATGCAGAAAAAGTAAATTTACAGTTTATTCAAAACTAAAGATAACCTAGATGATTAACTCAATTACCTGATGACGGCAATGAAAGTCACATTGAAATTAGTGTTTTTGATTATTCCAATTATTCAAGTAATCAAAATACTGATATTATGATTTCTCATTATTAGTTTACATAAATTCTCAACATTGGAGCATCGATGTTTGTCAAGCAGGTTGTGTTACATTGCATAAATACCATTAAACTTATACTTGTTCCCAGTTTTTAACATTTACATCTTAGTCTTATTTGTTTTGAATTTTGCACAAAGCTACATGGGAGCTATCTGCTTTAGTCGTCCTTAATTTAGCAGTGAAAGACAAGAGGAAAGACAGCTAGTCATCACCATCCACATCTAACTCTTGGGCTACTCTTTTACCAATGAATAGTGGGATTCACCATCACATTATAACTTTTCCATGGCTGAAAGGACGAGTATGTTTGGTGGGATGTGGATTTGAACCCATAACCCTCAGATTGCGAGTCAAGCACCCTAATTATCTTTACATTTTAGATATGATCAAGAGCTTTACATGACAGAATGAGTATTTTCCAGCTGGAGAAGGGGCTAAACAAGGAAAGTTACTGGTTTTGCAATTTATTATAGCCTGTTTCATTATATATTTTTCATCCCATCAAATGAGACTGTGTTATCGTGCTTTAGCTTCACATTCACTCACAACATGAATGACTATGTAAATATAAAAGACACACTAAGGGTGATTTTTAAACTAGATACATGAACTGTCACTTCATTATAATAGATATGATGATAGCAGAAAGTATCAAATGTTCCTTTTATTCATAACCTTTCACTCCTCACGTGCAATGTGATACACCCCAGATGGTTTGTATCCTCAATATTTTTCTTTAGTGATATTCAGTCATTATGATACATTATTATTATTATTATATGCATTTTTTTCGTTTGACGTGTACACAGTTATTGAGTGTAGATTTTATATATTCCTAAAATCATGAATGAAACACCAAATTAATACACAGGGGGAAATCATTATTGAACACTGTGATTCATTAGTCCACACGCGACTACTGAAGGGTTAAAGCTAACACTAATGTATGGTTAGGCCTAACCAGTACACTTCGGCCCGAAAGTTGAACTCTTGTTCTCGAAGGTTCCTTTTTTTTTTCACTATCTATTTCTAGTAATCACTGTTAAATAACTGCTAACATATCTTGGAAGTAACGGTCATGGATAGTTTGTTAATGTAATCTATAGGGTTAGTGCAGTATCACAGACATCTACCTTAACCTACACTAAAGGATGTTTCAAGTTCTTGATATATATTACAAGTGAAATGTAAACTATTATCATAAGTATCTGAATAACCTTAATGAATAAATATAAACATCAAATATTTAAATTAATATCGTCCGAAATCATATGTTTTAACCATTTTCTTTAAATCCCAGTTTAAATTGTAGATTTACGTAGATTATATTAATACAAATATCTCACCATTTTCTTGCTCTTAGTTTAATTACTCAAGAAATCGCATAGTCTCTAACACATGCGTAATCAAGTTTTCGACACTAGGCGGCGCTGATACTCCGTTTGTAGCATAGATAGTTATATATCATCTGTTATATCATATCATAACGTAACTAACGGCAATAATAAGGGCCTTGTTTGTCTGCCCATTCGGATACCATGTAAGTGACGTGTATAAAGTTCCAACTATTGCGAAATTGTATATACGCGTCAGCATTGAGCTTGTCAAAATTGTAAACGTTTCCTTTTGAAACATCTATATATATCTGTTTTTCAGAGTTTATTTAATACTACTGATAGTACCAGGCATCTTTTAGTTTTAAACCTTCAACAGTATGGAAACGCCGAGTTTTCAAAATCTGCCTGTAAGTAAAACAATATATGTTAACTTTGCCTGTTGTTATTATTCTTAACTTTGTGTAACGCAAACTAGAGTTTATTATGAAATATTTCTACAAACGTAAATAAAATCACGACCTACATCTCCCAGAAAGTAACTTTATTAGCTCAATATTTCGCTATTACAGCTCTTGACGAAGTTATAGGTCGTGATTTTATTTACGTTTGTAGTATTGCCTGTTGTTTTTTTTTTCCTTTTTTGGTTTATCACATTATAACATTGACCAAAATTTCAGTTAAGATTGTTTTTGCTTTCAAACAATACAGTAATTTTTAATAATACTATTATTAATCGCAATAAAGAAACTACGCGCAAATACGAATTTTATTTCTTGCGACGAACTGTATAACGTATCATATATAATTACCAGTGGTTAATAACTTAAATAAGGTAATCCTGTTTACGCTGTTTTTGTATGTCTTTCATAGATACTCATCTATAGGGTGAACCAAAAGTTATGGTAACTTAGAACATGTATAAATAAATTTATTTACTTATGTAAAATCTTTCCAGTTTTTAACATAAATATAAATGAAGATGGAATAGGCCAGTGAAATGAAAATTCCTGCTGCCACTCTTTCTGCATCTATTTAAAAAAATGATGATGTTTCAGGTTACTTACTTTCTGGACCACACTGTACAAACTCTTTAAAGATACCATTGTATTATTTTAAAATCTTGAAAAAAAAATAAAATGGATAATCTGTAATCATTTTAAGACTATTAATAACTAGACTAATATAAGGTGTTAGAGAGATGTGCCATTATTTTCTAACCATTTTTTAGATATTTTAAACTTACAGTACTGATATAGAAAGAATTATTATGAATGTAATATTTATGAAATTCAATTTTTAGAAAGCTTCAGAATATTTTATGTATTCTTTTGTCAGGACTCTCTACTTCTCCATATATTCTCCTTTTTATCTGTAAGAGAACTTTACACCATATTACGTGTTTGTTGGCGGTGGTATTCGGTTATCAATGATGAACTGTACTGGAAAAAGCTGCTTTTAAAAGAATGTCACATACTCAGCATCACCCATCTTTCACAGACACCAGAGTTGATACTGGACGAGTTAAATTTTGCTGAAATCCAGACAGAATTGAAATGTGTTATTCATGACCCAGTCTTTCATTACAGTCGCATTTTGTAAGTATTTTGGCATGTAAAATTTCAGAATCCAGCATTTTAAACCCTTCTAAAGTTACTGGAAGTATAGTGACTGCATTTGCTGGGTTTCACCAATTTAAAATGAGGGTTCTGTTCCAAATACACTTTCATTTTATTTATATCCGAATAATTCTAAATTTAAATGGTTAATATATATAAATTTTAAGAATCTATTTGCTGACTTTATATTGTGTTAACTTCAGAACTCAGGAATGTGACTTGTTTTTTTTTTTTACTGATTCAATCTTAGTAGTTATTACCTGTTTAGCTTTTCTAGATATTTCACTCCCAGGAAGGTTTTGGTAGAGAAATGGTTATAGCAATTAGGCCTAACACTTAGTAGCAATAGGAAGTGATAGGTAGACCTGAAATGCTATTTTGCATACCTTTTATTTGAAATCTGTAGTAGAAAAAAATTAAGATAAAAAGATTACATTTAATTTCTGATTACACTTAATTGTATTTTATCAAGACTCCTACCAAAAAATAAAAACATTCAGTTTTAACTACAATAAAAACAGCTGCAACAGAGACTGGAAGTTTTAAGATGTGTTTTGGAATGAAACACTCATATCTTTGACTGCTCATGGTTTCCATGCCTTAAGTCTTGAACTGACAAAAAACAACAACTTATTCCCCCTCATGAGTGTGTGACATGTTTCAGGTGTTTCCTTTTTTTCACACTCTTCTTAATTTATTCATTAAGCATATAAAAATATCATTTTAGGCCCATCTTTTTCTGCCACGAGTATTTTCATCTTTCAGCCCAATGGACATGTTTTGGCATTGAACAAAAGGTTTCTCAGTTAGTAACAGTAGGCCTTATATGTATTTTTTTATTTTATGTTCTGTACCATCATTAATTTTTAATACTTGATTGATTACTCTTATTTTCATCTTAGATTTGATGTATGTAGTCCGATGATAAATAAAGAACGGCGAAGAATGAAAACTGAAATGAGAGACTTGAAGCCCAAGCAGTCCTGGTTTCAATCATTAACACTCTTCTCTAGATTAACTCCTTCATTTTTCCCATCTAAAACCTACGAAGCAGAAGCAAAGATTGAAAAACCACCCACAGTCGTTATGTTAGGACCTGGTTTGAATTCTAAGCAAACAAAATGTATTGCCAGTAAAATACTGGCTGGTAGGAACAACATTTTTGAAGCTATCTCAATGTGTTCTGGTACTAAGCCAGGTTTAGGTAGGTTTTGAATGTACGTTTTTGTGAGTTGGGCATATAAATGGCAAATGGGTTTTAATTATAATGAATGTAAGGTAATGCATGTGGGTTATCATAATTTGAATTATATGTATAATTTGGATTGGAATAACATTAACAGTGTCATGAAGGGATCTTGGTGTAATAGTTGATCAATCTCTTAAGCCATCCAAACAATGTGCTGTTGCTTGTGGTAGGGCAAATATGACTTCAGGTTGTATCTACAGAAATATTGAATACAAGTCTAAAGAGATTATAATTTCATTGTATAGGTCATTTGTTAGGCCACATTTGGAGTAATGTATTCAGTCTTAGGCTGCTTATCTCAGGAAGGACATTGAACTGTTATAAAGGGTTCAGAGCAAGGTTAATAGAATGATGCCTGAGATAGAGAGGTTGAAATCTCTGAAATTGTTTTCTCTTGAAAAAAAAAGTTAGTGGGGATCTGATTGAGGTGTTTAAGATTGTAAAGGGAATTGATAGTGTTGATGCATCATCTTTTTTCATACTTAACAGTGAGAATAGTAGGATTAGGAGACACAAATATAAACTTTGGCAAGATAGGAGTCATCTTCAGCTAAAACAGTTGTATTTTTCTAATAGGGTGGTTGGCCTTTGGAATGGGTTACCTTCGGATGTTGTGGAGGCAGTAAATTTAAATAAGTTTAAGAGAAAGCTTGATTAGTATATGAATGAAAAGGGATGACTTTTTAACTTATTTGTCAATAGTTTTAGTTTAGTTTTGAGGATAGGATAGCCGAGGTGGACCAAAAGGTCCCATGTTATCCCAAAACATAATATCTTCATTTGTATTACAATATCTGAATGTCTTGGATAAATCTAAAATAATAGTAAAAGTAAGTAGCTGGCAATGCATAATTCTAAAAAAGTAGTTCCTCTTGAAGTTTCTTTCAATTGTCTTTAAGAAAATATTAAATACTTGGCAATTTTATAACTTAAGGGAACAAAACAGCATCATTAGGTCAAAAAGCAAGACTGTACTTTAATCACGTGTAACAAGCCGGGCTGTATGATTTTATCTTGTCTCCACTATCATAGAAATCCTTAATTCTTCATCTATATTTATAGTTGTTAAACGTATCATTGTTTATCATACGCAGGTTCAGGGTTACTAATGAAATGTCAAGGAAAGCGGCTTAACTTTGTTACCCTCTATTCCAACACTTATTCCATACGAGAGAGACACCAGGGAAATTCTCTGGAGCAGAACAAACTTTTTCAGAAAGATAGCACCAATGGTCAATGGACCTTAGTACCTTCTTTAAAAGAAACAATGGAAGATATTAACGCAATCATCTACGTTATTGATGCAAGACAGTGCGTTTGCCAGATAGAAGGTGAGCTATATTCTCGGAAAACTTGCAGAAATTATAGTCATAATGTACGTGCATTGCAAGTTATAGAAACTCTACCAGCTTTCAACACACACTTAAATTTTAAAAAACTCATCTAAGTTGTTTTAATTCAAATAATTGATAAATATATTAATAAAGTCATTGTCCAGCACAAACAGGATTAAAAGTATGATCAGTGACTAGAACCCCTCCTAATGTGGTTTCAAGTTGTCGTCACAGTTTTTAATTCCTAGACCCTCACATTTTAACAGTTCCATGATTGGTAAATGATGTTGTCAAGACAGAACAACTTAATGAAATTCTATATTTTCATTAAATTTCCCGACCTTGTTTTCCAGTGCTTTGATAACACACAATTTTGCAATTATCTTATGGCAGACCCTTTTGTTGACCTGCATGTACTTCTCCATGATTTGAACAAGACGCTGATATCTCAAGAAAGTGTGTGTGACCAAGCATTAGACTCGGAATGTTCGGGCCTAGTCAACTTTCATCAAAGACTACCTCCACTGTTAGTTTTAGCATGCGTTCCAGATACTACCCATCCATGGATGAGTTGGGAAGATTTGTTGTCAAAGTTAAATCTCTGTAGATACAAAAATCCTTGGCATGTAAGTGTCACTTTTTTTTTCTCAAGTTTTTTGAACTGGACTGATATTAAACTTTACAGATACAACTTAGTTTCAATTAAAATGTTAATGTCTACGTAGGTTTTATATTCTATGACTGATTGGCTCACGATACACATTAATAACATATTGTGGAAGCTATTACAAAGCCACTTCTGTACAGTGAAGTCATCAAGCGAGTTTATGGTACCGATGTAGTTCTTTGTTAATAGTTACTTCTCTCACACAGATTAGATCATTTAATTGATGCTTTCTTAACTTTTAAGTAATTTCCAGGAATTTTTGATTGTTAGGTAATTCTCATGGTCAGTGAAAAAGGCCTAGTGGCACAAAAATTGGTTCTTATACATAGAAAAGTAAAAATGTGCTCAAAACTGATATTGTTTAAACTTTTTGTATGCAAATGAGCATCATTTAACACATTTTTATTGATGTTTGAGTGCTATGTAGACAGAACTATAGATCTTGTGTGGGAATTGCATCTGTTATCTCTTACAATTAAGAATGGACAGGTATTTGAAAGTTGTTATTGTTGTTTTCTACAGATTTCTCATACCGATGTTTCAACCCTAAAGGACATTACGATAGGTCTCGACTGGATGCTCGCCCACGTTTGTAAAGTATCTACATAATAATTCTTTAATCCTGGATATAAAAGGAAGTGTCATATAAATAAGAAACAAAAACCTTGTTCAATCACACCATGTTGGTGTACTTTTATACGTCAGTAAATTTAATGTATTGAAAACTAGTCTGATAATTGTATGTCACATAACTCTTGATTTGTATATAGGTTTAGTCATCAGAAATCTATTTAATAAAAAAAGGATAATTACACATTATCAATTTGTACTTGTGGTTTAGTCATCAAAACAAACAATTTATAAATTTGTACCATTGTTGTGTGCATTCTGCAATATATTTACTACCAGTTGAAAAGCTTATAAGAACAAAACTGTTATATCCCATGTTTCATTTAATTCTGAATATTGTCATTAAGACATACTAACAATACTTGTCAGTATTAGGCCTATTGTATTTTTTAACACTGCATTTTTTATCTTGTCCCTCAGTGATTTTTCAAGAACTAGAAAAGTGTATAATAACAGTATTCTCACAACACAATGTTCACCGTATTCATTGCTGACGAACTGTTTCACTTAATACAGAGCTCTTCAAGCTGCCTGGGACACAACAAACACACAAGACATCACTGTCTAAAGATCAAATGCTATGACAGTGTTGAACACTTGAAAACTGGGTTTAAATATCTAGAGTTGGCTTTCTTTTTAAATAGTTAACCTAAAAAATCTTTAAAAAAGCATGGAATTTCACAACCTGTTACATAACAGAAGACAGGCTGTATAACAACTAAAATAAAAACTTAATAATTAGAAAGTTTGACATCCAAGTCATTTTCAAAAGTGAATCAACTCTATGTAACTATTTAACAAAAGTTAAACCTCTGACAAATAACAAATATGTTGTCTGTAGATATAATGAACGTGACATAAAAACTGTGCTGTTGACACCCTAACTTTAGTCTAATGTACCACAGTAAATGAAGAACAAAGATAGAAACATAAAACTAAGAAAAATCAAAGATATAATCGTAACAGTTGTAAATAGATGTCTCCCCCTAGAGGTCTAAACCAGAACAACAGATAGGCCTAATTGAACACTGCATGGGATACATTAACCCTATCACCACGGGTATCCTTTACTGTGCATGACACAAACTTTTAGTGTCCTTACGTTCAAAATTTTATTAAACTACTTTTTGTTTATGTTATACCAATTAGTATAGCATAAAATCTAAGCTAATAATTCATATTTTAATAGTATACAAGTTGTAAGTTCTTAATTCTATAAAGCAATATTTTAAGAATTCCTGAATTTCCCTTAGTGTGACACATTTTCTCTAGGTATCTTCTCCTCTCTATTTATCCACCACCCCTCCAAAATGTACGAAATTAAACGTAAATTACTCACTATAAAATCATATTTTGCTCAGACAAACCATAATTTTTATAGCCTTCAATTTTTTTTTGTTATGGAGCTATCAACTAGAAAATCAGACACCTGTCACATCCTCTCTCAGGATTTGTTAATAGTTCTCTCTTACGCTTTAGTATCACCTATAACTAACAGAAAGTCAAGGTTTTCATCTATCAAATGACGTATTGTATAACACTGTGAAATTGTGTGAATTTCACTCAGAGTACAAGCTTTCCCATGGGAAAGTTAACGACTAGCTTGGATGAATTTGTAACGGCTCTTGTCGCATAGTTGGAAAGCCAGAAAAATTTTGAGAGTTAGAGGAAGTTGTCTACTTTTTGCATGTTATTAATCTACGTTCTTTGGTGCATTATTTAATTAAATAAAAATTATTTAGTGCATTACTACCATTAGTATAAAACAGTTGGGTTAACTGTTATTGACAACTGACTGCAAGAAAAAAATTAAGATTGGGTAAGTACTTTATTTCTTGTTTTTCCATGTTTACTTTTTATTTATTACTATAAAAGTAATTAAAATGTAAACATAGGGATCTTTTTAGGTTAGTTAAGATTAAATTAGGTAAAATAAATAATATAATAAAAATGTTTCACGAGACACGCATGAGAGCAACTCGTTGGTAATGTAATTCAATAGTGTAACATGAGCTGCATATTCCCAAGTGATTTACAACTTATAATGGTGTGAATAGTAGTTCTACACAGTTCAGAGGGCAATAAAATTTAATTATAAAAGGATGTATACTGTTATAAGTTTAAAGCTACTTAGGATAAACAAATGTAGTTTAATGTTACAATTTAGAATTATTTCAGTTTTTCTTGGGGTGGGGGGGGCGAGGTCATTTAAAGTGACCAATCCTGTATAGAGAAAATAAAAGATAAAAATATTAGTTTACATTAAAAAAATGTATCAAATGTATTTAGGAGGTTTTAGGGTTTATACAAAGGAAATTTGAGAATTTTGAGATGAGGAAAAGTTTTTAGTCTAAACATCTAAATTACTTTCCACATGGACTATTTGAAACAAATACTCAATATATTCATGGACAAATCTATATTTTAGTTTATTACAAATTCTTCACCAAAAAATATGATTTTTTATGTGTGAAAGACTTATAATGTCAGTTGAACGACAGCCAAATTTTGTGAATATTAAAAGTTAGAAATATTAAATCTATAAAGACTTTAAACGCTTTATTCGCTGTCTAATTGCTGCATGCTGTTTTCACTCTATGACAAGAGAGAGAAAGTATATTAAAAGATTCAGTGTAATTTATTACTTTACATGATTCTCATATAAAACAAAAAAAATGTTATTTTTTAAGACATGTAAAAATTACCTTTTAAATACTGCACACAATTTTAAGATTTTATAGATAAATACAGCTTTCCTTTTATTGTCTGTTTTTCTGGATTCAACCGTTTTAGAATCTGAGCTATGGTTGTAACCAACTGATTACTACTGAGCCCAGTCTTTTTACTCTTGAATTTTTGAAGAAGTTCTGTAGTGGTCATTGGCTTTCTCATTAGATATCTTCTCACTGCATCTTCAGTAATTCCCTCAGAGCTGTAGTGTGGAGAATTAATAAATTCAACTTTTTTGAAAGTAAATTAGCACTTCAAATAATTATTTAAAATGTACTAAACTGTCCGATTATAACTTTTCTGAAGACTTAATAATCCTGTTTTTACTAAAGCAAAAGAAAAACAAAAATATGTATCAACTTACAACTATTACATACACATTAAAAACTGTTAACACTTATGGACTACTGCTATCCAAGTTACTTCTTTTATGTAACACATTTATCTGGATGGACTACTATACTTCAACAATATTTACCTTGAACTGGAGCCATCCAACTTGTGTCTTTTAGCTGATACACCCCCTGAGTCACCAGCTCGTCTCTTTTGAGCAGATTTTGAGGCTAAAAAAGTTTAGAAGTGAAACAAACAATTTATTTGATTTCTTATCAGGGACAATCACGACATAAAAATTGAAAATGTAACATCTAGTTAAAAGTTTAAAATTCAAGGAACTTGTATAAAACTAATTTAAAAAATTCTAATTTTCAAACGTTCAATGTTTTTAACTTACACAATTAAAATCCTTGTTCTGAGATCATTTAACGGTCTCTAAACAACTACTCTACATGTTTCAACATGTATCACATCATCCTCAGGAGGGCTAAGTCTAAAAACAACCATTACAAAACTATTCATACCAAGTTGTTAATCACGTAACTTCTAGGTTTCATTTTCAGTGAAATTGACTCAGTATATATAAAAGTTGCATACCATACTTTAGTAGTATATAGGAGAGATAAATAAACTGGTTTCCTTATCTATGGCCACTACTTGATGTCTGAACTGTCTTACTGTAAAGTTTACAACATGTATTGACTATCATATGTTTTTTATTACTCAGGCTATAACTTTACCTAAATGGTTAGTTTTTATTTATTTAGGGGATTCTTATCAGTACATGTAATGTATATCCTAGGTGAACTACAGCTGAAGGTCAAAACAACTTTACTAAGTTCACTGTTACAACAATGTTAGTATCTCCACGGTTAAAACACCTTTACCATGTCCACTGTTAAAACAACATTAATACCTCCACTGTTAAAAACACCTTAACTAAGTTCACTGTTAAAACAACTTTACTTAGTTCACTGTTAAAACACCATTAATCTCTCCACTGTTAAAACAACTTTACTTAGTTCACTGTTAAAACACCATTAATCTCTCCACTGTTAAAACAACTTTACTAAGTTCACTGTTAAAACAACTTTACGTAGTTCACTGTTAAAACACCTTTACTATGTCCACTGTTACAACACCATTAATCTCTCAACTGTTAAAACACCTTTACTATGTCCACTGTTAAAACAATGTTAATACCTCCACAGTTAAAACACCTTTACTATGTCCACTTTTAAAACAACATTAATACCTCCACTGTTAAAAACAACTTTACTATGTCCACCGTTACAACACCTTTACTATGTCCACTGTTAAAACAACTTTACTATGTCCACTGTTAAAACACCTTTACTATGTCCACAGTTAAAACAACTTTACTAAGTCCACTGTTAAAACACCTTTATTATGTCCACAGTTAAAACAACTTTACTATGTCCACCGTTACAACATATTTACTAAGTCCACTGTTAAAACACCTTCACTAAGTCCACTGTTAAAACACCTTTACTAAGTCCACTGTTAAAACACCTTTACTAAGTCCACTGTTAAAACACCTTTACTAAGTCCACTGAGAACCATCTTCATAAAAAAATTACCTATAATCTTAAAAAAAGGAAAATTTCTTACTGTACCGTAAACTAATACTAAGTCTACTGTAAACTTGCTAAAACATGCATCCCTATTACAATAATTTATACTAATATACATTGTTTAAGTGCTCTTGTCTTCTACAAAGTTAGTTTCATAAACACTTCCTTACAGTGTTTAACTGTATCAGATGTTGGGGTATTGGCTCTACTGCTACTGGCGCTGTCTGATCCATTATGTTTGGACTTCTGTAAACATATGAAAAGCAGATCTTGAAATGAAGTACAGTAGAAAGAAAAGCACTCTAAAACACACATATGTATTCTAAGGATCAGGTTAAGATACTTTCAAGTTAGAAAAATGTGTGCCAGCAAAAATCATCAGCATTCTAGACTAAAAAACAACGCAATGATAACAAAGAGGAGAAGAAATTGATAAAATCACCCTGACTTTAGTCCATACACTGTTAGAAAAGTTGATGTTACCACATACATAATTATCATCATAATCTCATGAATGTTCGTAGTGTTCTACCCATCAAATACTTAACCCTAAAAAAACATGTATCTTTTTCTGCGCGTCACGAGGTTTTAGTAAGTTACATTGAAAATTTAATTAAATTCCTTTCTTATCATAGTATAGCCATAAATATAGCATAAAAACATTGCTAATAATCCATATCTTAAGTTTTAATTTTACAAGGCAATATTTTAAAAAAATCTAGAATTTCCCCTAGTGTGAGAATTGTGACATTTGCTCTCTAAGCATCCCCTCTTCTCTAACTTATTTACCACCCCTCCAAAAAAGTACAAAATTTAACCTAAATTAATTATTATAATATCATCATCATTCAGGCAAAGCATAATTTTCATAGCCTTCAATCTCACTTGGTTACATAGCCATGACTTAGACAATCAGACCCCTCTTGCCACTCCCACCTATCACATCCTCTCTCTCAAAAATTGCCTATATTTCTCTCTCATTCAATACTACATTATTTATAACCAAGAGAAAGCCAAGGTTTTCATCTGTCAAATGATATACTATAATATGTTGGTTTCTGTAAATTTTGCTTTCATTTAAAATTTGATTCCAATGAGAAACCCAATGATGAGTTCAGATGAAGTTTTAACAGCTCTTATCGCATAGTTAAAAAGCCAGAAACATTGTGATAGTTATGGAACATTGTCTGCTTTTTAACATTATTATTCTGTGTTTCTTGGTGCATTATTTAGTCAAATAACAAATTATTTAGTGCAGTACTACCATTAGTATAAAAAGGTAGGATAAGTGTCATTAACAATCAAGAACAACAACAAAAAAAGACCCAGGTCAGCTTTTTTATGTTTTTCATCTATATTCTTTATTTATTATTTGAAAAGTAATTAAAATGTAGAAATAGAAAACTTTTTATATTAGTTAAGGTTAGATTAGGTGAAATAAATAATAATAACAACAAATATTTTTCATGAGGTATGCTTGTGAGTGGCTCATGTGTAATTTAATTCATAATGGTGTGAACAGTAATTAGTCAGGGTTCAAAGGGCAATAAAACAATAAAATTTAAGTATAAATAGATGTATATTGTTATGAGTGCAAAGCTATTTAGGATAAACAAATGTAATTTCATACTACAATTTGAAGTCATTCTAGAAAAAAAAAGAGTAATTTAGATTTATTTCAATTTTTTTTTGGTGGTTACGAAGTCAGTCAAATTGACCAACCTTGTATAAAGTTAGGATAGAGAAAATAACAGACAAAATATAACGTTTTACTAAAAATAACGTTTGAAATTTATTTAGTAGGTTTTAGAGGTTAGGCAAATTTTTGAGCCATAGAGGAAGAAAAGTATTTTCAATCTTTCCGTGGAAATCACTTAGGACTATTATATAGAAATACTATATATATATATATTCATGGACGAGTCTTTAGTAAAATTAGTTTATTAAAAAAATTTATTTTTTTGTACATAAAAGACTTGTAATGTTTACTAAAAGTCTGCCAAATTTTGTGAAGATACACAGAGTTTATTAAAGTTATTGTATGGAAGTTATAAGGAGTACAAAATGGTTACGAGGTCGATTGTAGCAAAAGAGTTAACACACTTAGTTTATATACAATTTGTGATGTATTAAAAAATAACCCAACTTCTATTGAGCTAAGCTGATTTTAAATCTCTCATGTTAGCTGTATTGATATATTTATTTAGAGTGCTTCTATAACCCAGTTCGTAGTACAAAAGCTTCTATTCAACCTTCAGGTTATTGATTTTAATTATAGTTTTGTATTTACTGTAGGGATTTTCTGAAGATGGAATGTATTTATTCTGAAACATTCTTTAAAAATGTTGTTAATCGTCACTTATGTGGTTGTATTGTTCATCATTAGACAGAATTACTTTGTTAGAACAAAGGACTATGGTTAACATATCAAAAAAGTGCCTCCTGTGTTCACGTTTAACAAAAAATTTGTTGTTTAAAATGGAACTTGTTTGTATCACGAATTGTTTTCTTTTACAAAAGCAGCAAAGTGTTGCAAATTACACATGAGGCAGTGAACTATTGACCTTGTTTTTAAGTGCTGCAATTTCAGTACACATTTACTTTCATGGTCAAATCATTAAAGGATGCTCTTTTAGTAACCTTTTCATAACATTTTATACATTTCACAAACACTGCAACTTAATAATATTTCCCTAAACAATTATATGCTTGCTGTTCTCATAAAATCGTCAACAGCACAATTAATGGCTCAGACCTTATGTTCTAGATAAAAAAAAAATAATTAGATACCTAACATATGTAAATTATTTTACGTTTCTTTGATTGACATCATACCTGCATAAACATTGCTGAGTGAAACTTGGAATCATCAAAATCTGAGTCAGAGGAGTCAGGGCTTGATTCTCCAGAAGACAGAACTAAAATAAAAAATATGTCTCAATTGTTACAGGATGTAGAAAGAAACTAAACTGTATCACCATGTAAAACTGACATTCTATGTTCAGCAAAGTTGTATAAAAAAATAAAACCACATAACCATGTAAATGTAAAACTGACATTCTATGTTCAGCAAAGTTGTATAAAAAAATAAAACCATATAACCATGTACAACTGACATTCTATGTTCAGCCAAGTTGTATAAAAAAATAAAACCACATAACCATGTACAACTGAC